CTACATTCTTTGGTAACTCCTTCAGGATTATCCCTACTCCATTTATCTTCTTATCCACACCATGGTAAAACAGTTTTAGCCCTGCTCCAGTACAGAGAGACTTGCTTCCCTTCCACTTTGTCTCTTGAACACATAAAACATCTACCTTCCTTCTCTGCATCATGTCAGCCAGCTCTCTACCTTTGCCTGTCATTGTCCCCAAATTTCGAGTTTCCACCCTCAGTCCTACTTCTTGACTTTCCTCTTCTTCCTCTGTCTCGTGACACATTTCCCTCCACGTGATCTTCGACCAACAGTAGCACAATTTCCACCAGCACCCTGTTTGTCAACAACACCGTAGTTAACAAGGGCCTCGACCGATCCAGTATGGTGTCATTTAGATGAACTTGCATATTAGTTTTGGCAAAAGTGTTTTACGTCAATGCCCATTCCTGACACAACCCTTACCATTTACCCAGACTTGGGACCAGCACAAGAGATGCACTGGCTTGTTCTCCTTAGTGGCTGTTTTTTTTTTTAACCATTAATATAAAGTAACTCTACTATTCTGCTTAAATTACATATTTTGTATGTTTCAGCTATTTTTTTCCCGTTAAAAACTGTCCTTATATTTGCATGGCAGCTCTGTTTTGGCATAAAGAGCTGCAGTGCCTAGAAAGAGAATTTCCTGACCGTTGAATATTTATCTTTTTGAGTGTGTGCTACCGCTGTGTGTGTTTGTCAGAGGGCGTCATGTTGGTGCCAAATGAACGATTACAGGCCGTAGATAAATAGATGTCATTAAAACTTGGAGCTCTAATTAACGGCAGCCCTTTTCTGCAGGCTGAGGTGAGTGGGAGAGGCCAGGTATGAGTAATAAATCAACTAAACATACACGGTTTGTTTGTAAGCACCAGCGTACCCTGTATGGAAACTTTGCTGATCAAGACAGACACCTACAGTCTTTAGCAATCAACAGTACGTCAACATAGAACTTTCTTATTTCTATATATACCATATCAAGCCAAACAGCTGATAGGTGAAAAGGAAGTTGGAGAACATGCATGAGCTTAAAGTTTGGTGTGCATTTGTGGGAGGTTTTAGGGACTATTTTTGCACTTTCCTGTGTAATTAATGCATGATCCCTCACACCATGCTATCACTCGAGCATAGGGTTTGATTAGTCAGAAATCCAGAGCAAACTTCTTGGATCGAGGCCTGCTCCCCAAATCTAACTTATGCCTTCATTAGTCAGTGGAAGCAAATATTTTCAGGTGTGCTTCAATGAGGGGCAGCTGCGAGGCCATATGTGAGTGATTTGGGCACTCGGAGGGAAACTGAGTTCTGATGACAGACACACTGTTTGGCTTGCAACACTAGACACACACATGCACACACACAGAGACACAGGAAGTGTACATCAATCAATCACCTGGCTCTGTCTCTCTACATGTGGCGACCGTATGGTGTGTTTGTACGCCTTGAAAGCCTGTGAGGGTTTGCTCATGTAGGTGTTCTTCTGTCTGATCTCGGATCGTCAAAAACAGATGTCCCATAGAAATTCTGGTAAGATGAGCTCAGGTGTTTATTACGAGCAACAGAATCAGGATGTTTTCTTGTTATAACTGAAAGACGAGGTTTTTCCAGAATAAATAAACACAATTACGATGATCCACTGTGTTAGCTTATTAAATAATCTAAGCATTTATGACAGAGTTAAAATAAAAACACTCCTATTTTGAAAGCATTGCCTAATCCTCCAACATTGGATTTCTAAAGCATCTTCCTGTGCCACTTCCTTTGTTAAATGCCCAATTAGGTTTCGTAGATGTATTTACATCAAGTTGCTCGTACCATACAGCATGTGTGGGTTCCCAAAAGAAGTATAAACTGGTTAAATGTGCTGTGATCTTTGCAGTGCATTAGATTGCAAAAATTACCTCAACACTGCTGGGCCTTCAGGGCTCTTATGCTTTTAGCCGGCAGCACAAAGCAGATGCTCAGTGGAGGTACTAGCGGTGGCTCCATCTGTAGCTTTGAGACCACAGACGGCCTGATTGAAGCGAGGCATTCTTCTGTGTTTTTACCTTGTAGAACTGGATGTTCCGAGTTAAAAAAAAAAAAAAAAGGTATGCATTGCTCTCAGCTGTGTCATGAACATAAAACAAATGGAAGGTAGCACGGACAAAAGGAAACCCTAAAGGCAAAAGTTTATGATAAAGGTAAAAGAAGAAACTGAGTGATACTCTGGAGATAAGTGTCTGCAAGCTGAAGATTTGGGGACTTTTCCCATCACGCACAAATTTGTATTCATTCTTTTTGTGGGTGAGCTGCACCACAACATTGAACTCAGGGGGTTTATAGTTTTTCCTCTCCATCCTAACAGCTGGTGACAGTATATGGGTTAGTCAACTGTGTAATCGGAAGAAAACAAGAACTTTAGGTAATTTATTTTTGTCGTTTTGATCCCCGAGTGACAAATGATACAACATATTTATACATAATTTGATAACATATTCCATAATGGTGTGTTCCTTAAAATCATGGTTTTCTTCCTCTGCTAGTGGTTTGTGTAATTAGCACAACTATTTGAACAGGAAGTGCACATTTCATATGTCAAGGCTGGACGTGGTCGTCCACAGAAGGACCTGGCAGACAGTCACAAGTATAGATGACAAAAATAATATGATGGATTGTGTGGATGAGTTTTAGATGATTAAGTAAACTGTAGATTTGAGATGAAAAATAATCCAGTGACAGAATAAATAATAAAAATAACTTAAAACAAAACAATGAGCACACAATTTAAAATAATAATAATAATAAAATGGTTTAAGAGGCACTTTCCCTTTTTAAAAAAGTATTTTACTCCCATTGGAAGATGGACATGCTACTGTATAGTCTCTGTTCATCTATAAACTTTCTCATGGCCAGTCTGTAACTTCTGATCCTCTCAAGATAATTTGATACACGTATGCATCATCACTAGATGGAGTCTCATATACACTTTCATCACCCTGCTCCAAGACCACAACCACAAACGAAGGTCAAATGATGCACAAGGTCTTTGCTTGACCGTAGTTGTAGATTGCTGTATAAACATTTGCCGACCGGTGTATAATGTCCTTGTTCTCTTCTACATGTTTAATGTAACTTGTGTTGAATGTATCTTAAAGTTGTGTGTTTGGTTAGTATCTCCAGTCATACATGACACAACCTTCAACTCTACCTGTTGACAACATAACACTGCTGATTTATTCATGAAAACCAGCTAAATACATATTTGCATAGTTGCTGCATTTCAAAAGTTTAGTATAAATAAGCTTTAACATAACTTGTGTTGTCATCGTGGAAGCAAGAAATAAGGATTTTCTCATTGGCTGAGACTTAGAGAGGAGAAAATACAGTCAGGAAACGAAAGAATAATGAAACGTCATTTTAATCAAAGAAAGGAACGAGATGGTAGACATGCAAATAGGAGGAGAAACTGAGTTGCCGAGAAGGATGAGGTGTGCTGTCCTCCCAGGGTCATAAAGGTGGTGAGTGGGGCCAGAGGCTTAATGGGATGGAGAAACGTTGTGATTGGCTCATTACTGTGATGGAGCACATTGCTACAACAATTGGCCTTTTCACCCCCCTACCCCTTCAACTACCGCCGCCACCCCACCCCTTTTTCAACACACTGCTTCTGTATGCGCCACCTTACCGGGAGCTGCAGAGGTCTGTATATGAGAGCACTAATACAGTAAAAGTCAAACATTTGCCTGCAGAGCACCAGCTTCGGTTCAGAGCAGCACGGTCTCCCCCCCCCCCCCCCCCCCTCGCAAGGTGAAAGCAGAACTCATCTCTTCTCGTGTCGCTCAAGTCGCACTTGACAAAAACTCCTGCGGTTTCTCAAGAGTCTCGCATATTCATATTTCAAACACAAACAGTTGGAAGAAATTAGATAAAAAAAAAGTTCAAGGAGGATTATTTAGGGTTTTCTATTAACCATGCTCTAGAAAGACAATATGGCCACTGATTGCTTCAGTCAGAGCTTTTTTCCCCATTGTGTATAACCTTCCATTCCTTTGGTTCATGACTTTTTTTTATTAAAGAATTACAGTAGTCCCTCACTTATCGTGCAGTTACATTCCAGACACTCCTGCAATAGGTGAAAATCCTCGAAGTAGGGATGTTATATTTATTTTAGTGTTTATATATATTTTAAGGCTTTATAAACTATTCCCACACTCTTGCAGTGTTCTTAACAATGTTTAAACTCTAAACGCTCTAAAAGAACTGCAAAAGAGAGCGGACAGACTGATGCTATGGTTACTGAGCCACCCCACGTGGGCGGACTGGCTATCGGGAGTACTGGGACATTTCCCGGTGGCCTGGCCCGCTCAGTGATCGTCGAGGGGCTGGACCAAAGGCTCGGTTCTGGTCGCGTTTGATTATTTTAAATAAACAATCCATGCCGCAAACTCAGGTATCCACCTCACTGAAGCTCCCTGAGCAGTAGCGATGGGGAAAGACAACCCCCACCCCCCCACCCCTCCTGAGGCTGTATGTCACAGCCTGTTGTGTGTGTCTACTCTACTGTGACAGCCTCAAAAAGAGAAAGGAGAGGCAGGGTGGGGTCTGTCTTTCCCCATCGCTACTGCTCAGGGAGCTTCCTTGAGGTGGATACCATAGCTAGCGGCATGACTTGTTTATTTAAAATAATCAAGCGCGACCAGAACCGAGCCTTTAGACCAGCCCCTCGGCAATCACTGAACAAGCCAGGCCACTGGGAAATGTCCCAGTGCTCCCGATGGCCAGTCCACCCCTCATGCACAATGCTCTGGTTGGTTGCCTTTCATCAATCAGCCAATCGTGTGTCTTGTCCAATCTTACGTTGAAAACCCGCAAAACAGTGAGTCCGCAAAAGCCAAACCACAAAGTATCGAGGGACTACTGTAGTTAATATTAATATTTGATGCAAGTCTAAATATGAATCTCTTTAGTTTCTAATGTTGCCTGTTGTTCTGTCTCCGTAGCGGCGCAGAGGTAGTGGGGTTTTCTGCGCCAACTGCCTGACCACCAAGACGTCTCTGTGGAGGAAAAACGCTAACGGGGGCTACGTCTGCAACGCATGCGGTTTATACCAAAAACTACATTCGGTAAGCCATAAACGCACAAAATGGTTTAGTGTTTCAACAACTTTGTGTTTTAATATAGACTGCCTTAGACAAACTGAAAGAACAGAGTTATATGAACATTTAGCACTGAATGCCACTGTATGATATGCAGCGTGTTTGTGATTTTACACGATTTATTTGCAAGAGAAAACATTTTGTGGCAAAGTCATTTATTGTTATAACTAAACACTAAAATCTGGTAGTGTATAATTCAGTGTTACTTATAAAAGTAAACATTTAGCATCATTTAAAATATTTTCTGTCAGATGATTTAGTGTCAAATATTCCCATTTCACTCACAATGACACTCAAACACTTTTCAGTGCTCATTTACATTCTGAAGATTTCTTTTGAGACATTTGTTCAAATATTAGTCATCACTTAAAATATGTTGATCCTGAAAAATAAACTTTATTTTGCTTTTTGTAAAAATATTTATCCTAAAAGTACCAACAAATTGTCACAGAAACGTAAAACTTTCTGATCTGTTTTATTTATTTACTTATTTACTTGCAGCTCTGAGAATAGATGCAGCTGATGCCATTTCTATACATAATCATTTTGGCATTATTATTAAGAAAAAGAAAAATCTGACCTTGGTTACAGAATGAGGAAGTTTATTGATGGACTGAAAAACTATTAACTATTCACCTTTTTATAGAATAAATTAATTGTTACAAGTATTGTAATCCTGTGTACTGGTGCAGATTCTCAGTCTTCCTGGACAGGGTAGATCAGAGCTGTTCAACTGGTGGCCCCGCGCCTGACTTCAATCCGGCCCACCAATGACTTCATTAAGAAAAAAAAAAATTGTGGGGGGTGGAGTTCTGGGTTTGGCTTTTGGGTTAGGTGTATTGCATTTATGATTCAATACAATAAAATAAACAAATTAAAAAAGTAACAGATCATTGTAAACTCTGTTTATTTACATAATGACTTTAATTGCTGAATGTCCAGCTCCTGAGCTGCTGGCTTTCAGAAACTGTGGCCCCCTGAGCAGTTTTGTTGAATAGCCCTGGGGTAGATCCTAACAGATTTGATTTTATTTTTTAATGTAGACTTTTTAAAATTTATTTTATTTTCATTCTGACTTTATTTAGACAGGTTAATCCCATTGACTAGGCCAAACAAGGCTCTATTCTAGTTGTTCCCATTGTTGGGGTTGCGAGATGTTAGACGACGGGTCTTGAGCTGATTGAAACAGATCAAATATAAAATGAACTACTAATAGAATAATTCTTTATGTTATGAAACATAAACATCTATGATCCATAGATAAAATAACAGATTTTGAGAGTTTTTTGTTTTTGTGTTAATATCATTGTTTATTATGAAGGATTGAAATTATATATATATATAATATAGGGGAGTGGGGAAGGTCGCCGGTTCAACTCCCTGGACCTACAACATCAAAATGTGGGTGTTATAGGGGAAGCACCCACGCCTGCCTCCACCTTCATTTGCCCCACTCTGGGCCCTTGAGCAAGGCCCAGAGTGCCCCGGATAGCAGCTCTCTGCTCCACACAGAGGGCTGTAGTAGCTCAGTGGTCTGTGGTTGTGTCAGGAAGGGCATCCAGCGTAAAAATAATTGCCAGGTCTTTGTGTGACTTAGTATGTTGTAGCAACCCCTGAAGATGGAAGCAGACAAAAGAAGAAGAAGAAAAAAGTATAATTGTTTGACTTTTGAGCAATGTCTGTGCACAGCAGCTGTATCTGGGGTCTCTCAACTCTATGTCACTGTTATTTTGTGGTCCAGAAGCTGAAATATTTGGGAACATCTGATCTAACAAACCCCAGCAGGAAGGCCCTGGAGAGTGATTTGCATGCGAGTTGAACTCGCTGCAGTTTTAAAGCTTTTGACACCGCTTTTCTGTTCGATTTGAGAAAGCATCACAGATTAGAAGCAAAGCATCTATAAACAAATACAAGAAAAACATCCATTCTTTTAAAAACGCTTGTAATATCAGCAAGTGAGGAAATGTGTTTGACTGAGTAATAAAAATCATTTTAGTTAATAAACTAAAGGGCTCAACTCCGATCCACTCGTATTAAACTCATAAAGTAAAGGTTGTTCTTCTGCCACGTTATGGACCGCTGTGTTCCAGAACCAACACACTTCATCCACTAATCATCATTCATCCTGTGTGGTCAATTAGCATATGATGCAAATGAAAATGTGGAGAATGTACTACTTCTGTGTTCTGTGAATCCCACTGTGAAAATGTATTATTGTGTGGAGTGGGGGGAAGAAAAAAAAGTGGTTAATTTGGCAGGTGCTGGGTGTTCCAGAACTGTTCGGCTCACGCAGCGAGCCCGTCCCGTGGAGTGAGGAATATGATCGAATGAATCGAGGTTACCATCCTAGCCTGGGGAAAGTCGACGGAGATCCCAAATTTAATTAGACTGAGCAAAGTGCAGCAGAGATAAAGACCCAGGCTGGTATTTTGTTGACTTGAGAATATCACGCTCATTCAGACATGTTCTCAAGGTGTTCAACCTAATTATGTATAAATATTAATTATGCACGACTTTTGTGTTGCATGAGTCGTGTTTGCACTATTTTTTTTCCAGCTCAGCTTGTAAAACTTTTAAAGTAAATGTTTAAATGTAATAAATCAAACTTTGAATAAATGAGTCAGAGGGGTGACCATGTTTCAACACTTTAAAGGGTTAGCTACTGAAGGAATTTACAAAGATTCAAGCTACAGCACCGTTTCCTCCTTCCTGCCCCGTATACGTCCTTGGTTCAACCCGTTCATCTCATCTGACGCTCCAATCACGTTCCCACTCCCTCCACTCTTGGCAGTCTTCACGACAACCATATTTTATATCCCATAATAAAAGTTTTATACGCTCTACACACATTATTAGAGAGGATAGCAGCTAGTAAAACACTTGAGAGTCCGAGAGGGGAAGGGAGAGTTATGAATAAAATGGCAGAAGAGAAGGGAAGAATAGGAAGATGGATGAAAGTGGAGGAGAAAGGAGACCATCACATGAAGTGAGACGAAAAGATTTGGAGAAAATGCTGAATTAAACACTCAGAAACAGATGGAGCGACATACGATACAAGTTAAAACGGATAAGAATTATGCAGCACGTTGGCCCAGGTAATAGACCAAACCATCACTTTTGTCATAAAAATACACAAATCTAAACAGCCTTTTTTATCTGAGCAGGTTGTGTGTACAAGATTATACAGAAAAATGAGTGTACTTATTACATAAACATCAAGTTGCCTAATTAAAGAACAAATATGGAGGGAAAAGAAACATTTATTTCATTTTTGAAATGTTCCTGCTTTGACCGACTTCCTCTTCCTGAATTGTTTTTGGCAACTTCCAGCAACAACGTGTTCACATTTTTCTAAAGATGAGCGCGTACGGTAGTTTGGAAGTTTTCTTTTCCCTTTTTGTTCCCGACCTTCGTCTCACCTCTTCTTCTTCCTTTGTTCCCCATTTCCCAGTTGTGATTTCTCTCACCTTTTTGTTAACTGCTCAAAAACAAAAGAGGACAAACTCTGAAAACTGTAGAGGAATGTCAGCGATGTTAATGTGCCAGTGTTTTAAGCTGTCACTCTTGGTGTAACATGTTTATGATACTGGTTCTGAATTGTGTATAAAAATCATTAGTGGCCGACTTTTTCATTAATTCCTACGTTTACACAATTGTGCTTTAAATGGCTGCTATTATCAGCTATAATTTCAGGGATTTCTACAAGTTATACTATAAACAAAGAGGCATGCTGGGAATCCCTTTTCAAGCTTCTTCCTTTTTCCCCCTTTATTTTTATATTTAAATATAAATGTACATTAACGTAACATGTTCAATAAAATGTAAGTAAATTCTGGAGAAGCAAAATTTGCACAAAATTAATCAGACATTTGAACGTTTTAACTCATATCCAGGAACATTACTGCCTGATGATTTTAACCTCCCAGTATGAAAGTTATTTATCTAAATTATTTGAAAATGTTTGAAAAGCCGTTGAAGTTTATTTTAATAAGGGTCCACATTTAGATTTCTACTACTGATTTTAGTTTAATTTATGTTTTTAACCACTGAAATGAGCTAATTACCAAACACTTTGTTCTGTGGGTCTAATTGTGCATCTACGACTCTTTAAAACTGAACTGTTCTCATTTTGAAGTGAAACACTACAGTTTTTCTGACAGTTCGGACCTTCCTCCAACTTTTGTGTGAGATTTTTATGTTGTAGAACTGAACTTGTCTCGTCAGGGCACAAATAATTTACATAAGATGCAAGTGCTCCCCCTTGTGGTTGGGGCAAAGAGTACATCCATGCGGGGTGGTGCTCGTGCTACTGTGGTGCTCATTGTAGCAGATCACTGGTAGCCAAACCTGTGTGAATTAAAACATTTTACATGTATCTTAAAGTTTTATTTTCTTGATTCTGTTAAAACTGTTTAGATTTTGATTTTTCTGCTAAATATAAAGACACTTTATGTTGAGGCAATCAGTGTATTGGCGTGTGCTAATTTAAGGGCAGAAAGGATTTTTTAAGTTGCCTGATTACTCAAAAAACGTTGACTTGTTTTTTTTTTTTTTTTAATCCAGGCTTGATTATGCCATTTGTGTGTTCAGAGTGGTTACTTAATCAACGAAACCACTTATTCATTAAGTTTCATCATCGCCAAGTAATTCTGGGATATGTTCACTTGACATTTATGAAGTCACCAGCTTTGTTAGTGTAATAAAGCAGAAGAGGAGAAATTGTGTAATAACTCTTTTTTTTTTCTTTTTTTTTTTTGTCTAAACTTCTACTTGTTTCCTTTCTTCTTATAGACACCGAGGCCGTTAAACATCATCAAGCAGAACAACGGAGAGCAAATCATCCGCCGAAGAACCCGAAAACGCCTCAACCCAGATCCACTCTCATCGGAAAACCCCACCCCCAAGCAGCAGCGAATCGCCAGCGACGAGCGCATGAACGGGGAGGAGACGGACAGAAGCTGCTCGTCGGTAAAAAACCAACAGCCGTCCCCTCGCTCCCGCTCGCCCCGATCCACTCAAGCCTTCTTAGCAAACCAAACGCTGGAGATACACAGACGCATGCCTCCTCTCCTCCTCCCGACTCATCCTCCCCCAGCTATGGTTGCCGAGAGCAACGGGGCCATCTCCGAGGTAGGGGTAACATCAAAAGTTGAGGGAGGAAAGGGGGGAGCGAGCTCAGAAAGAGGCAGCCCAATCGAAAAGTACATGCGTCCATCGAAACCTTCTAGTTACTCACCTCCAGGGTCACCCATTGAGAAATATCAGTATCCACTTTTCTCGTTACCCCTCCCTTTAACTATCTCACCGGATCTGACACCCGAGTCCGACTGGCTCCGATTCTGGACCAAATATAAGATGGCAGCCACCTCCGGGGTCCCTGGGAGCATCAGTAATCTCAGCAGCCCAGGTGGCCTCAGTAATAACGCCCACCATCTGGGCACAATGGTGACTCCTGTACAGTATCATCAGCAAAGCTACACGGTGCCTTACTGTGCCTCTCCCTACTCTCCCCTCCCACCTCCTCCAGCCCCTGCCTACCCCCCTCCTCATCACACCCAGAACTCCACAGCCTCGTCAGAAAACGAGGTTCCTTTGGACCTTGCGATACGGCAAAGAGATCCAAGCGTTGCCGACACGCACATGTCAACTAACGGCGCTGAGAGGAGACGACTGGGGTCGCCTCTAACCGAGAGGCTAACGGGGAGCTGTAAAGAAGAGAAAGAGGAGGAGGAGGAGGAGATGACAGATGAAGGAGGGAACCTAGGTGAGAACGCAGGGAAGGAAGTGCAAGATGATGCGATAAGACGTCAATCAAGTGCTCCGTCAAGTTTCACGAAGGTGGACGCAGCCACGCAGAACGACCTGACCAATCACTGCGTCCACTGCGGGATCTATTTCCTGGATGAGGTCATGTATGCCCTGCACATGAGCTGCCATGGCGACAAGGCCCCGTACCAATGCGGTTTCTGCCTTCATGTGTGCGTGGATCGTTACGACTTCACCACGCACATACAGAGGGGCTTACATCGGCACGCAGACAAAACGCCGCAGCAGAAGGGTCATTCGCGGGGCGGCAAGACTCCGAATGCCACGGTGACACCTGAGCACGACTGTCCACGTGCGACAGACGACGAACAAAAAGATGGAGAGGTCACGGGTAACGGTGAGGAAGTCATAGAAACATGTCAGGACGACCAAGAGAAGGAAAGTATCGCCAGTGAAACCAGCAACTTTAAAACAGGTGCTGAAAAGGAAGTAAAGGGTGGAAACAAGGAACTGAGAGGCAAAACTGTATCAGATGTCAGTGATGAGATCTCTAAACCTACAGAGATCTTGACTGTAGCAGAGTCTAATAAGTTAGATGGACTCCCCGATGGAAACTAAACATCTTTGACTCAAACCATTAAAAACATGTTATTGGATGAATGAGCTCTAAAGTTCAAGGAGATTAGCTCGTTTCTGAATGAGCCTGGGCACTAAATTGAACGCATCCTTATGCTGGAAGCTGTCAAATGGTCAAAAATAGAAAATGTTTGCAGCTGAACTTGCAGCAGAGGCCGGCCGGAGAAACAGCCTCTCTTGAGTAACGGCCACTCGACAGCTCGGTGGAGAGAAGTCAACGGGGTGCTGGCATCCAGCTGAAATCACCTTTCATAAACATCCACTTTATGTGCTTTCTATAGAAGAGGACTGGACTGAAAGATGACGTGGCCTCTCCCAGCCACCATACAGCAGAGCAAAAACAACAAAAAACTCAACAACAACAAAAATTTAAACACGGCTGCGTAGGTTTCGTCATGCTAACAAACTCATTCCAGTCTGGTGTATCATTCAGACTGGTTTATTTAGGCAAAACCAGATCTGATCTGGCTAGAACTGCTCTTTATTTTATTTTTAAATGTTCTTAGAGTATCCTCTTTGTGCAAATGGATCAAAAACACTTACATGGTTTATTTGAAACCGCAAAGGGCTGGAGGTGCAGTGCATTCGGTACAAAGTGGATCAGCTCGTTCACTTGGGTCGTGCTGTTTCTCAAACTTGACAAAGCTTCTGGATCAATGCAAAACCACCGTGTCTGCGTGGTGACCGACGATTAGCCGAGCTCGATTCGACTCGGACTTTCTGAAACTGCTTAAAGCCAGTTTAAACGGATCAAATGGATCCTACTCCAGACTGAAGTGTTCTCCACATCCATTTGGATTAAAACAGTTGTTTTCTACCCTCCTCGGTGCCATGAAACTAGCTATGTGCCTGGCTGCTTGCCTCTTAGAACAACCATTTATTAACCTGCTTGACATTTATATTAATAATAATTATAAATATAATGGTAATAATGAGAACAATGATGGTGTATTCATACAAAAATGCAATTTGCTACACTTTTCTTATTATTTTGTAAAGGTAAATGATGCTTTTTAATGGAAATGGTACTATAAAAATTAGTCTATTTGAGTTTTTTTTTTTTTTTTTTTTTTTTTTTTGTGTGTGTTCCTAACGGGACTTGTTGCATTGATAGAAGTCTGCTAACAGAAGTGGTACAACAAACTGGGGAGGGGAGGGCGTGGGCATTTGTGTAATAGCATTCTACAGTATGTGCGTGAGACTCAAAGGGTGCGTCCGTCCCCGCACGACGACGTAAACGTGATGAATGCTCAGTTTCTCAGTCCTCAGGGGTCGCACGTGTTGCACACCAACCTGCCTGTTTCACAGCATGTGACACATCATGTTTTACCTGTCCAACGGTTTGGGAAAGGAGGTTCTTCTTTTGGCATGGTTTACTTTTGTTCCCTCTTCTGGGCCCTCCTTGTGTTTTGTATTCGTTCATAGGTCGTCAGCGTAACGTTTCGTTTTCTTTATGTCTGTTTCGGTTTCAAAGTTTTATAGAGAGACTTGGGAGCGAAAGCTTACATTTTACCGAAAGGATCAAATGTTTGAGTTTGAACTGTAAAAAAACTTTCTCTATGTTTGCAGTTTACAGAGATTCGTTGATCTCATATAGTGGAGAGTCGGTTAGGTTACCTCTATGTAGCATTTTAGCAACTTTTACAAAATTTGGAAAACACGTTGCCTTTAATATAGATGGGAGCTGTTACATTACACCTTCAATAATACTGAAAACTATAAGAAGTTGGTAAAATATTTTAGTTTTGCTTTCAAATCCATCATCCACTTCATAAACACAGTAAAAATCTCACAAACTTTTTGGCTTGTAGTTATCAAATTACTATTATTATTTTTCAGAACAGTCACCATAGTGAGTTTAAAGTCCCTCTGATTGTTACTGGTCATGTTGGCCATTACTTCTCCAACCTTGCTGCCTTAGTTACTGGAAAACCCTAAAAATAAAAGTGTTTTTTGAGGAGAATAGAATAAAAGTAGAATAAAAACAAAATAAAGGAGAAACTTTAGCTAAAAGAGATGAAGATAAATAGTTATTTTTCTATGCTTATCCAAAAGACGTGAGTGAGAAGTATTCCCCTCAGTGCCTGCTAACCTGTGCTTTTCCGTTTTGTCATCTCTAATTGTTACCGAAGCGTCCGGCAGATGTTGCGCAAACTTCTCTGGTTCTCATGCAATAAGTGTCTGAATCCTCAGTGTTTCTGTAAATGTCTGTTCCGACAAATGCATGCCCATGTCCGGTTGTCCTAACATCAATCATTTCTTAAATATAGCTCGGTTGTTTTTCTGTACACTACGTTTACGTTCCTAATGGCTCTGCTGACACATTACAGATGTTTTAGTTGGAAGTGTATTTGATTGGAACAGTTTTGACATTTCAGTGCCCAGATATACAGAAAATACTAATAGTTCATTGTCTCATGTTTAGTTTATAATTTATTGCAAAATAAATGATCATAACATCCTTTTTGACCAAAAAGAAATGGTCATTTTTAAAAAATGAGCTAATAATATAAAAGAACAACTCTTTAGTGTGCAAAATGTACAACAGGTGAAATTAAGTTTAAAACGGACCTCGGATCTGAAGAATACAGAGGTTCCCAACCCTGGTCCTTGAGGAACACCGTCCTGAATGTTTTAGTTGTTCCCCTGCCCCAACACACCTGATTCAGTGATTTGATTACTTCCTCAAGTTCTGCTAAAGGCTGTTATCACCAATTCATTCAAATCAGGTGTGTCAAAGCAGGGAAACGACTCAAACATGCAGGATGGTGTTCCTCAAGGACCATGGTTTGGAACCACCTTGGTTGGAAGCACCTTCAATTTCTCATGATTAGATTAAATCATAATTACATTTATTAGTTAATGTACTCAACTAACACATCAGATGTGTTCATATCGTAAATTTAGAGATTTTAGAGTAAAATGCTTTGGTTCCTCGTCAAGGGGCTGCTGTTTAAGGAACAAGATGTTTACAACCATAATTGTAGCAAAATAAAGGAAGGGCGCACTGTTTTAGATGAAGATGGAACAATGGGATGGAGTAATGGAGGTGATTATGGGAGACGCTCATCAATGCTGATTCTGTTCACTTTTCTGTTTGTGGTTTTGTTTGTCCATTAGCCTTTTGTCAACATCCAGTCTGTCCTTTCATGTGTTAATTTTTCCTCTAAGCTTCACCGTACGGCTCTATCAGCAGCAGCTTGTTTGGATACTTGAACTCGTACTTGAACAGCGGTTGGTTGACAGTTAGTAGCCGAAAAGAAACAAAACGTTGAAAATGTTTCTTACATTTGCATTTAATCACTTCCCAAGGGGACTAACAAAGAACAGGAACACAGTATGACTTTAAGAAGCTTTTTCATATTTTCCCTGGGATTCTTGGAGACATTTGTTGAGGTACTGTGACAAAACACTTAAACAACTCTTTATTCATAAAATTTGGATTTATGCGTCATTTCGATGAACCATTCAAGATTTCCTTGCCACTTTTTGGATAAATGGGAATATTTATGCCGAGCTGTTTCATTAACTTGAAAGGAAATCTCCCCATTTTTAAGTAAAAGCAAAAAGAATGCACTTTTCATATTGTCAGTCCCTTATTAACGTAGCTGCTTTAGCTATTTTGCCTGCTTCGTAAATTTAGCAAACGAGATTTTACTAAAGCAGACATGACGTTTAGGGGAAAACGTCGGCGTTGTTGTTTTTACTTTGAGGTTATGGTAACCTTTATGCAACTATATGCTAAAAACAAATCAGGTTTTACGGGGCGCACGTGGCATGGCCTTGTGTTACTCGAACAGCGACTGTCTGTTTCAAATCAGCATTTCAAATCGGCGTTTACATCCGGAAGCCTTCGGTGTTTTTCCTTTTTGTCACTATGGGTTTGAGAGAATCGCTTGCACTCCATGTATTATGTTCTTATTGCCAAGAAAGGGACGACACACACACACACACACACACACACACACACACACACACACACCTGCAGCGGTACAAACTGAGTGTGCATTTTGGCATGTAGTGTTAACTAGGGCCAGTTAATACTGGCTGAACACACGCACACGCAGTAAGTTTATATGTTTAATCAGTATATTCTAGTAGGAATTTCTCTCTGTTCAGATGAGATGATTTTGTAGGAAATAAATTTGACTTTGTTGTTTTTAGGTTACGTTCTGTCATGTTGTATTTTATTCTTCTGCTTTTTCTCTACGTTCTTGTTTTTAGGTTTTGTCTCGAGCAAAAATGATATTTCAACATATTTTGACGGCCAAGAAAAGTTTGTTACACAGCTAAACTTGAAGAATAGTGTTCATGATGATGATGATGATGATAATTAATAAAAGTAATAACATTCTCAAAGTAGACAATGAGTGCTTTATTTAAACAAGTTGGAATATCTGTTCAACATGTGGAGTTTAAACTGGCGTATGTGGATAAATGAGCTGTGCATAAAGCTTTTATTTCGGTTTAGGCAGATTATTATATTTTTTTTAGGTTACTCATAAACTTTCAAACTTGCCTCCCGCTGTGCTCTCTGACTACAGGAGCCCCACAACGTCCATCTGTTCCTCGTCTCATCTGCTTCTCGATGCCACCTGCCTGATTTTATTGCTTTTTAAGCAGCTCCTACTTCGTCTAACAGCAGTTTCAAGATATTTTTGTTACAGAAAACGCTCCCAGTTTATTCATAAAGGCATATTTTTTTTAAATTGTACTTGGAATGATTCATTGTACAGAAAGGACACGTTTTCTCAACGTACAGCAACTTGCAACATAAAGCTGTGAATAAGGAAAAACACATTTGTGAATGATGGAGGATAGAGTTACTGCACGTAGAAAATGAAGATGATGCCCAAAATGTCAACAAGAAGCAGATTATAAATGTTTATGTTAAAGGTAAAGACGTTTCTCTGACCACAGCTGCTAATATTAAAAAGTATAAGTTTCATAGGAATGTTAACCTCCCAGGACGTGGACGCAAG